CTTTTCACCAAAGGCCAATTGGTACAGACTGGAATGACATCAATGACCGTTATCTACTTGTTATTCCCATAAGTTCCACGAGTTTAAAACTGTTCTCAATTCTGTGTCGGCGCCATTCTTCTATTCTATTTATTGACGGCCCTGCTTAATGTTTATTTTAGACGGTTCAACTCTTATTATTCTAGGGTGTATCGGATCCATTTATCTTTTTGTCTCCTTTTTCCTATTGTCTTTATAACCTGGCGATGTTGATTTTATTGCGCTTTATACCGCTGGCATTGCCCAGGTCTAATTTACTTCAGGCAGCTGCTTGAAATTTTACTATTTTCCCACAATTTCAGCCAATCTTAACCTGTTGGAATTCGGATCGATCAGAAATTAAGGTTATGAGTCAATAAATTTAATTAATTTGTGTGACACAACTTCCTGGGTTTGCCATTTAAGTTGATAAATCTCCGTAATTGTGTCCTGGAAAATGGGAAAAATTCAACGCGAGCGTCTTCCATCTATTGGCTCAGTTTGGAAGTTGGTGCTAGATAACTTTGAGTACGTCTGCCCGTCACAACTGGAAATGCTATTTCTACTCTCGAGAACTCTTTTCTTACATTTACTTTGGCCTCTGAAATGGACAAATTTCATTTTGGATGTTTGATAAAAAATAGTATTCTTAGCAGATAAGCTATGGCCAGTGTCTTGGCTTATATTAGGATTGGGATAGTTGTCTAGATTGGCATCTCTAATGTAAGTTTGATCGCTTATCGACTAGCTTCGTTATTCTTCTAGCTGATCTGATTTTACATTCACTTTAATATCGAATAAAAAATGTCTTTAGCTCTTCCCATACCACGTTGAACGCGAAGAGTCTTTCTTCCCATCCCCCATTTGGTGAATCTCTGGTATATTCTCACTTCAATCATATACTCTGATAAGATATTTTGGCAATTAGTTTCGGTAAGCTTGACTGATCAGGGTTTAAATTCTTTAACTGTCATTCACCTCTTTCACTGACTCTGAGCTTATCCCGAAATGTTTGCCCATTTCTACCTCACCGCGTCTATCTTGCCTTGACTTTTATTTAAGCATTATCAGGTCTCGTATTTTCTCCGAATTCGTCCGGCGACCTGAATGAAGCCAGCCGTCTGACCACTGCTGTGGGTCCCATCGAGGCTGGCGAAGAATTGGATGACATCAGCCCTGACGACGAAGATGTAGCGGCCTTGATTCAGCCTCCGGCACCGGCCAGTGGGTCATCCAGCTTTTGTGGCTGGCCCGCTTCTCCTTCCACTGTTCACTCTGCCTGTTCCGATTCTTTGCGTGTTGCTGCCATATCTGGCCTTGGCGAAGCTGTTTCTGGCCCATTTGACTCGGCCGCCGGTGAAGTCAACGATACAAAGTCGTCCCGATGGGCAGTAGCTCTGCAGGCCGATGATGAGGCGGCGGCCCCGGTGCCTATTTGTATGCCGGCATGCGGAGAAGAGGAGGGGGTGGAGGTAATGAGGAACAAGTTTTTTGCAAAAAAGAAGCTCAAGTCACTACACAAGTTGGGCGTTAAGCGACTGTCGATTGGTACCAGCTCATTGAGCCATGCCCAAGCAAAGATGTCTTTCGATTTGGGCCGGATGGGGATTAGCTCAGAGCTCAAGTAACTACTTCCTATTTCTTTCTATGTTGCTCACTTAAATTTAACAAGGTTGTCTCTTCTTCCAGCTGACCTCCTGTTTAAGCTCTTTTAATTGCCTTTTGATAAACTTCTATATAGTCATTATTGATAATAATTTTATTTAAATCTTCAAAAAAATTATGCAAGTTTACTTCTCTTGTCTGCATCATTTAATTCCTATCATGGGTCTTTCAAATAAATAAGCTCTTTCGATATAAATTCTTATGTTGGTTATTCTATATTACTATCAGTAGTCTTGAGATTTACTAATTCAGACTAGTGGATATTGTCAATTTTCCTTTAGAAATTTGACGTATTTGAGATTAATTCGGCCTACTTCGTTTAAAGTGATAAGGGAACTCGTAGTTGTTCACATAGACTTGTTTTCCTAAAAGCTATTCTCATCTATGTAAGACTGTGTGAAATTCATATCATTGTGTGAAAATTCAACCATATATCTCCTAGCCTTAAACGAAATAGCGTGAATATATGACATATGGTCTACGGCTAGTCTCGGAAACCAGTGTATAAAACGAATATTTACTTTCGTTACCTGAAAATACTAGTCACTATAGGTAGATAAGTTGAATCTAACCACAATCTAATGAGTAGATATCATGACGTCGATGAATTTCACTTGCCATAATATTCGATATATACTACACAGCATCGCCTAATTTAATATGAATGATCAAATGCTACTTTTATGAAAAAATTATAGTCAACTAAATGATACAAATTTACGATACCGGCGAAACGTTTGAGAATGTATCAAGTCAACGGTCCGATCTTGGAA